ATAAATGAGAAAAATAAGGCTCATTATTTAATGGCTCAGGGTTACATAAAAAAGGGAATTCAAATCCAGGTCAATATAGTATCAAAATCTGCTTTTCTATACCACTATGTGTTAATTTGCAAATATAGGATCTATTTATATTTGAACAAGATATTGAATTTAAAGTCATTTAAAGTTATTGAACTAAGACAATATAACAGTATAACTAAGAATAATGATTGGATGGATGGGTGGAGGGCAAGAGAGAGTGGCAGTCCATCATATAACTTATATTGTCTTGTATCATAGCAGGAAATAATAAGTAATATATAAAATTGATCAAGATACAATGGCATACCCACATGGAAATAGCCAAAAGAAGTAAAAACAAACTCTTGAGAGTGTTGGTGCTAAAGGAATGGGTCTGGGGTTGAGAAAGGGGTAAGGTTGACAACTGTTGACTTTCATTATAAGATTTAAGATGTTGGTACCTTAGCATTTTCTTTATTACTTGACAGGATTTGAGAAGAGTTCACAAAAAAGTAAGTGTTTGATTTAGAACATGTCTTTCACAGTTGTCTATAGATAATCTATCAAGAAGTCTTAACATTATGTACAATGAAAGAAAACTGGGATGTTTTCTCAGTCTGTTTCCACTGTTACTAGTAATATAAAATTGCAGTGTAAGAACTTTAATTGAGAAATTAATATGTTCAAGGCATTGATCTAGATTCTGTAGGAGATAAAAAGGTAGATGCAGTTTGGTCCCAGGCCTCCCTCATGTTATAGTTTAGTTGAGGGTGCTAGAGATTTAGAAGAAAATCTAGATGGGGGGAGATAAGAGCTCACATGTTGTCTGTGTCTACTCCATACTGTGCCAAATACTTTACCTACCTGATTTTTGATGGAAAACATGTACTATAGAAAAGATAAAATATAAGTAGCTATAGAAGTTCAAAATAGAAATGTAGAAAATGGTATTTGCTTGTTAGGGTCAAGAAATGCTTCCTAAAGCAGGGCATTTAGGAAGGGCCTTAAAAGTAGAAAGGGATTTCTACGGGCAGAGATGGAATGGGAGAGGCATTGACATATGTGTTAATTGAGACTCCTATTTAGAACTTTTTTTCTTTTTTTGATTCCTTTTGTATATAAGCATTTAGCTAAATCCATGTAAACTAGTTATAAATCTAAAATGAATTTTTAACATTTTGTTTGCTCAGCTGAAGATCTTTTATTAAATGTAAGCACTGTTATCATGGTTCCTTTTTATTAGAACTACTTTCAACTTGACTCACACAACAGAATCACAATTAAGATTTGAATATAATCATTCAATCAAGTGTGAGAAAAGCTCAAGGCGGATTTGGATCACATGAATTTTGTGGCTATTTTTGATTTTTAAAATTGTTCATTATGTTCTCCACATCGTCAGGAATCTTTTTAAAGTTTCCCCTCTTTGATGTAACTTATTGGTTTAGTTTCCTTGGGATTACATTTGGTTGCATGCCAATGACTGAGGCCCAGTGGTGTTATATTTTATTTTAAAACTTCATCATTTTGAAACCATGACATTTTCACCATCTTGCCTCTGAAAAAGAGCTTTGTGTTTTGACTCAAAGTCAGAGGCATCTCTGACTGTAGAAAGAGCTTTGATTCTTCACTTTTTAGAGATCACATAAAAAATGTAGGACTAACAATAAACAAATATCAGAAGTTCAAAATAGACATAGAACTTTCTGTATTGAAGTATTTTGTCTTGTTCACTGGGCAGTGTGTGCTAAAGGTAAAGATTGTCACCTTGAAGGATTCATTTGAAAATGTCCTTGAACAAGTGATCACTTTCTATTTAGGAAAGTTTACAAAAGTCATTGTTTTATAACATCCCCTACTTTGTCATATTGGACTTTAATGAATGACTTCCTGCCAGAAGTTCCAGACCCTTATATTACAATTTAAAGTGTATTTTATATTTCTTCGAGAGCAGAGGAAGAAAAATACCTTGTATTTTAGGGATTCTAAATGTGATCTTACAATTTACCATGAAGAAAATGTTGCATCCTGCAATTTGGAGCTATTTAAATTATATATTTTAAGAATTAATTTTTTCATTAATTTACATTTAAGAATTTAGAAAATTATATGCTAGATTTTATGTTAGATTGATCCCTTATTAGCAACTGTAGTCTTTAAGTCTTGAATCCTGAACTCTCAATATTTAATGTTCTCCAGTGCCACAGTCTGAATTTAATGACTTCAAAATTATAAAAATATTTTCTTTATTGTTAAAAAAAAACATAGAGCAGATAAAGAATTAAACAAAATATATGAATATTTTACAGGTGAGAGATAACTTCTATACCCATTTGGACTATTTCTTACTGCCTTTTTTTCTAATATATAAGGATAATTTTTTTTAATATACTTGAAACAAATCCATTTATCTCTATCCCTGTATCCATTTTCCTTACATTTTCTTGATACCTTAAGCATTAAATATTCTTTAAAAACAGACTTTAATGGCCTGAATGCCTCCTTTATGTTGTTTTTTTGGTGACTTTTATACTTCTATACTGTTCTCAAAACAAAATAATTACTAAAAAATTGTGGAATTTTGGTTATTAGAAATTATAGTTATTTATTAGTCAAAACACTTCTACATGAATTTATGATCTCCTGACTAAGACAAACAAGATAAACAAGTTGGGCTTCTGTTTATTAGCCTCTTTAGCAAGTCATTTGTTTTTTAGTTTATGTAATGGTATTTGTCATGATCTGAAGCACTAGAACATGGGACTATTGGTAAATCCATTTCCCTTATTTCCAATAGCCTATATTTGTGACTGCTTTGATATGAGGGGTATTCAAGACTGGTAGGAGCATGTGTTGAAGTTGCATCTTGACAACTTAGTAGATGTGTGACTTTGGGCAAATTATTCCTTCCCAGTGCACCTTCTTTTCAAAGGTAAAGACTAAATGAGATGATAAAGTACATAGCCTAGAGACAGCCTATAGGCAGTATTGAATATTCTTATTTATTTTTTGTCATTGTTATTATAAGGCCTTTGGTTATTGAGCAGAACAAAGGCACTTAGCCTTAGCAGAAGTTGAAAAGCAGTAGAACGTTGTACTTCTGCACATTAGCTGGCCATTGGGGGAAAAACCAAATAACCCATTTTAATTCCTATTGAGAAGCTTAGTCTCAACTGTTAACTTCAGTGAGGCAACTGCATGCATACATTTAAAAGTTCACTATGTCTTCAGTGCTTGACAATGCTTGATAGTCACTGAAATGCATGCTGGTATCCCAAAGAACAGGCTGTGGCTTCCTTCTTATTCTTATTCTTATTCTTATTATTCAGTAGCTAGTTTCTGTATAAATGTCAATGTTCCTTTAATACATTATTATGGATGATAATAGTAGTGGCTTCCATTTACTGAGTGTTGACTATTTGACAGCTAAGAGCTGTTCATGCATTATGTCATTTAGTCTTCATGGTTGTTTTGTGAGACTGTTATTATCACCCCTATTTTTTTAATTAACCTATAATGTATTAGTTGTTTGAGGGGTACAGGTCTGTGATTCATCAGTCTTACACAATTCACAACACTCACCATAACACATACCCTCCCCAGTGTCCATAACCCAGCCACACCCAATTCCTCCCCCACCCCCAAACAACCCTCAGTTTGTTTCCTGAGATTAAGAATCTCATATGGTTTGTCTCCCTCCCCAGTCCCATCTTGTTTCATTTTTCCCGCCTTTCCCCCCACGGCCTCCTGCCCTGCCTCTCAAATTTCTCATACGGAGATATAATTTTATAGATGAGAAAACCAAGATTGAGAGAGACTCTGTTTCCTAATAAGAATTTGAATGCTGGTTTGCAGGACTCTAGAATCTAAGTTTATAGATTTCTTTAGAGCTGTATGGCCTTTGTTTCAAAATTATCATGTAGGCTTAGTCATTTGTTCAGCCTTCATTTATTGAGGGCCTGCTAGGCACCGTTCTAGGTCCTGGGTGATAGCTATTCTAAAGTGTACCTTCTATTATATTAAGTTACTTCTGTCCACGTCCCTCCTAGAATGAGTGTCCTTATACGATAGTGACTGTGCCATATTCTTTTGAGTTTTAGGGATGTAACTGAAATTTATTCAAGGCTAAGAATAATTCCTGGGCTTATGAAATAATTATTTCTACAAAAATATTAGAAGCTAGGGCATGCCCCATTCTATTCATCAGGCTATCTTTTTATTTTAGCACTGACTTTTTAGCTCTTCGAGACTCCTCAGAGTTAAAGATGTTCTTAGTGATTATTTTAAGAAACATTTAAAGGTTTATTATTATTAGTGAGAAAACTACTTTTTGAGGTCTTGGTTTCTTTGACATCTTTAATGTTCTATAGACGTGTGGAACAGCACACACACACACAAAGTCTTCTTTAGAGCACACCAAAAATACATGAGACAAATGTAGTACAACAGGCTTAATTACATCATAGAAAAAAATAAAAGTATTCTGATAAAATTGAAAAATAAATGATGTAGCAGGAAAGTCCAACTGTGAGGGGAAAAGTGATGTTGATTTTCCTGTGTTATCAAAAATATTAAATCCTTTTCTGTGAATGAATCATAATTTTAGAGAAGATGATATGAAGTATTTGTGTTGAATGTCACTTTTTAGCCATATGAAGATGAAAATAATTTTAAACGTCCTTGGGTGGAGGCTAACATATATCTTCACCTAGATCAGTAAATACTATGAAGTGTATGATATTTTAGTAGAGTAATTGCCTTATTTTTTACATTGGAAATTCAATTAAACCTTTTTGGTCCCATAAGGAGCAAATGGCTGGTAATGTTTCTCTTTTTTTTTTTTTTTTTTAAGTCCTTTTTCCAAGAGGGAGGATCATTGGTGAATCAGCTGGCTATTTGTTTTAGATTTTGACATTGCTTCTCCTTGGGACCCTAATGCTGGGCTCTCTGATAACCAGTGCAAACTCCATGAATATCTTTCATTTCTCTAGAAGGAGGTGTGGATTTGCAAGGCTACCAGCTGGATATGCAAATACTACCTGACGGCTCAAAGAGTGATGTGGACTTTTCAGAGATTCTTAATGCAATACAAGAAAGTAAGTTTCCCTCAAATTTTAATTTGACCATGAAAGGAGAATCTATTCTAATACTTGGGAGGGATGATAAAACTAGAAACCTTAGATGCCAAGTTTAAAGAAAATGTTGTAAAGGAGATACTGTGTAAAATAATTTTGAGTCCAAAAGAGATGGTTAGTGAAATGCAGGTTTAGTTTGTGAAACTAAGCCACACAGTAATGGGGCCTTTGAAGAGGCCTGATGGTAGAACTGGAGTTCCATATTTAGTATACTATAATATATCGTGAATCACTAGGTACTATAATATTTAGATTCATTGATTAATCATAATCAAATAAATTTTCAAGAATATTATTATTAGAATACTATTCCTTTGCTCAGATGTATGAGTAGTAAGAAGTAAATGTTGTAGTAACCTGATATCATGAATTTATTCTCCAAAAGTGTATATTTCAAGTCACTGATGACAGGCTATAACTTGAGAAGTGACCTCTCTCTTCTAAGCATTTTGATTAATGTTAACTCTTCTTACATTAGTTTGTATTATAGTTTTTACTAAGAATTTGATCTTAATACATTTCCTCAAGTTGTAGATTTAGCATTGAGGATGGATGATGTGGTATCATAGACTAAGTCATTAAAATTTGTGTTTCATTATCAGGACCCTAATACTAGATAATGATACTCTTTTAAGATCAAATAGTATTCTACAGTGTTGTGCTTGAAGGGATTAGATCTGAAGAGCACTCCAGGAAGAACCACTGTAATTTTTTGCTACTTTTTTGTGACACTGCATTTCTATACTAAATTTTTAATGAGAAATTTTAAGTATTTTCATAGCAGTTACCCCTTTTGTCATCATACTACCCTATCAACCTTCTGAGATAATTAATACTTCCACTCTATAGGTAGAATTGAGGGTGGGAGAAGTTATGTTCCAGGCTAGTATGATCAAGAATGGAGACCAGCTGGAATGGAGGGTCTCCTACCCTTCATCTAATTCCTTTCTGAATGTGCTCAGTATGGGGTTGAAACACATCAAGAGGAAGGATCCTAAAATTGAAGATGAGGCTGGTTTTAAGAGAAATATTTTTAAGGAAAAAGACAAAAGGACCAGCTATTTGTTCTGCTTGGGCAATCCCTTCATATAAGGTTAATGAATAAAAGAGAAAAAAATTTCCCCAGGAGACTAAAAATCCAATTAATAGACATGGGGGAGAAAATAATTTTTTCATGGAAAGTTATAAAATTCTGTAATTACTTCATCTGATTTGAAAGATGATAGATTATAGAGTGCTGAAAGGATTTTTTAAAAAAATTTTAATAAGTGATAAAGTTGGCTTCTATGCAAGTGCAGATGAACCTAAAATTTTTTTAGGGCTGCATGAACTTATATCAAAATGACTTAAATGGTTATGAGACTATTTTTTAATTATTTTTTATTTTTTATTAACATATAATGTGTTATTAGCCACAGGGGTTACAGGTCTGTGAATCGCCAGGTTTACACACTTCACAGCACATTATGACACTATTTTTAAGGTAATTTTTATTAGCATATCTTACTAAACACAGAGTTGTATATGATGACTTTTATTGTTTAGAACAGTGAGCTCTTTGTGAACTAATAGAAGCATATAATTTTGAGTAGTTAATATTTAAGTTTAAAAATAAGAAAAGGGTAATATTCTCTCATGGTTTGTCTCCCACTCCGATATCCCCACATTCATTTTTCCCTTCCTTCTCCTAATGTCCTCCATGATATACCTTATGTTCCACAAGTAAGTGAAACCATACGATAATTGACTTTCTCTGCTTGACTTATTTCACTCAGCATAATCTCCTCCAGTCCCATCCACGTTGATGCAAAAGTTTGGTATTCATCCTTTCCGATGCCTAAGTAATATTCCTTTGTGTGTATGGACCACATATTCTTTATCCATTCATCTGTTGAAGGGAATCTTGGCTCTTTCCACAGCTTGGCAATTGTAGCCATTGCTGCTATGAACATTGGGGTGCATATGGCCCTTTTCACTACATCTGTATCTTTGGGGTAAATACCCAGTAGTACAATTGCTGGGTCATAGGGTAGCTCTATTTTTGATTTCTTGAGGAACCTCCACATGGTTTCCAAAGTGACTTCACCAACTTGCATTCCCACCAACCGTATAAGAGCATTCCCCTTTCTCCACATCCTCTCCAACACTTGTTGTTTCTTGCCTTGTCAATATTTGCCATTAACTGGTATAAGGCGGTATCACAATGTGGTTTTGATTTGAATTTCCCTGATGGCTAATGATGATGAAAATTTTTTCATGTGTCTGTTAGTCATTTGTATGTCTTCTTTAGAGAAGTGTCTGTTCATGTGTTCTGCCCATTTTTTTGACTTACTTGTTTTTTGGGTGTTGAGTTTGAGAAGTTCTTTATAGGTCTTGGATATCAGCCCTTTGTCTATAGTCTCATTTGCAAATATCTTCTCCCATTCTGTGGGTGGGCTCTTTGTTTTGTTGAATGTTTCTTTTGCTGTGTAGAAGGTTTTGATCTTGATGAAATCCCAAAAGTTCTTTTTTGCCTTTGTTTCCCTTGCCTTTGAAGACGTGTCTATCAGAAAGTTGTTGTGGCCAAGGTCAGCGATGTTGCTGCCTCTTTTCTCCTCTAGGATTTTGATGGATCCCGATCATACATTTAGGTCTTTCGTCCATTCAGAGTCTATTTTTGTGTATGGTGTAAGGAAATGGTCCAGTTTTATTCTTCTGCATGTGGCTGTCCAATTTTCCTAACATCACTTGTTGAAGATACTGTCTTTTCTCCATTGGATATTCTTTCCTGCTTTGTCAAAGATTAGTTGACCACAGAGTTGAAGTTCCATTTCTGGGTTCTCTATTCTGTTCCATTGATCTATGTGTCTGCCTTTGTACCATGCTGTCTTGGTGATCACAGCTTTGAATTATAGCTTGAAATCAGGCAACATGATGCCCCCAGTTTTATTTTTCTTTTTCAACATTTTCTTTGTGATTCAGGGTCTTTTCTGCTTCCATACAAATTTTATGATTATTTGTTCCAGCACTTTGAAAAATGCCGTTGGTATTTTGATCAGGATGGCTTTGAAAGTATAGATTCTTCTGGGCAGCATAGACATTTTAACAATGTTTATTCTTCCGACCCATGAGCATGGAATGTTTTTCCATCTTTTTGTGTCTTCTTCAATTTCTTTCATGAGTGTTTTGTAGATCCTAGAGTATAGATCCTATAAAACACTGGGTGTTATATGCAAACAATGAATCATGGATCACTATATCAAAAACTAGTGAAATACTGTATGATGACTAACATAATAAAAGGGAAATATATTATTTCACCTTCAAATGCAAATCAACTCTTTTTAGGTTTAAATATTTTCTAATACTTTGGAACCAATCTGTTTTCTTGTTAAAAAAAAATAAAATTTTTGTTAAGTAGTTTTAGGAAACTGCCTACACGGCTTTGGTCATGTCTGGTAGAAAAGATTTGGGCCATTTATCTACCTTCAGCTTCACCCTAGATTCCAAATGTGATTCAGATATTTAACAAATCAGTTGAAAGTTCTAAGTATAAATACACATAGTTTGGTTCTTAAAGGGACTGTACCTTAGACTATTATTTATAGGAAGCTTTGAGAGACCAACTTACAAAAATGCAAAAATACATAGGATTTGGACATCAGAAAAATTCCTCTCTCCTACAGACATTTTTGTTGAGATGACGGAACATTTTATTATTTTCTTGGAATTTTGTGGAGATATATATAGATATAGATATAGATATATATAAAACCTTTAAGATCAAGCTAGGAGAGAGAGAGAATTTGAAACACTTTTTGAGTTTCTAAGGTAAGCCAGCCATTGTAATAAGTGCTCTTCCCTTACTATCTCTTTTCTTAAAACAACCCTATAAGAAATAGTAGATGTGTTTTCTCCATTTTAAAGATGAAAAGACTGAGTATACTTCCCCAAGGCTATAGGTTAATATTTGACAGTCAGTATTTAGTCATATGCTGGCCCTTGTTCTGATAAATAAAAGATTAAATAAACATGATTAGGAAAAGTGAGCTACTCAATATTTTTAATAAAATTATTCTTATTTTGTTATGTCTTGATGCAAGAATTCTTCCCCATGCTTCTACATTGTAAGATACATTTACATTTTTTTTTCCTATAGTGCTTAAGCCCTAACAATGGCTTCTCCTGTTCAAAAGATGTCTTAGGGTGGCTAGCCACCTACAAGTTGTTTCTCAAATTTCCCCATAACAGATGTACAGCTTCTAAAGAAGAAAAGTTATTTCAACCATTCACCCATCTCTCCACCTGACCTGTCATGTAGCAGGGCACTGTGTTATGCATAGTATCTTAAAGCAATGGTGAAAGTTTTTGTGCACAGTTCAGTTCAAAAGAAATTAAAACAGAGATCACATTTGTTTTATTGTTCAAAATGAAAGCAACTTGATTGTTTTCTAAGAGGAAAACATTCTTATATGACAGTATAATGTAAGGGTGTGTGCATGTGTGTTTTCCTGGATGTAATTTTTCCCTCTCTCTCTTCTAACCCATTGTTTCCCATCCCAAGGTGGTAGCTAGGTGCCCTGAACTCCTTTGTTTCAGCAGAGTTCTGTGTTACCTGAAGTTCCTGGCTTTTGTTTTCTGAAAGTCTAGGCTTATGAGTGGCTAATCCTTGGTAAAAAGAGACAGACACACAAAGAAATACCCAGACAGAGAGACAGTGGGAGAAAAGGAATTTCCTGTCCAGCTCCCTTAGACTGTCCTGCAGTGGTAGCATGGCTTCCCATGGATGGGGGAAAAGGGAATGAATGGTTGGGTTGTGTGCTAGGAGCCAGCACTTGAGCCACCTGAAAGCCAGCATTGGCTAAGATTCTCCAGCCTGAGGAGATCTTCCATATTTCAGCGAGCTTTGGGGGTTCTGGGAAGGGGTCAGTCTCATCTTCCCATTTCTTTGTTGCATATCTAGTACCTTAAGCAGAGTGCAG